CAGCAAGGCCTCTGATTGAGAGATTGGTGGTTTTGAGGAGCGTGGAACTATCTCCTAATTGCTGTTGTTTCCAGGTCCACCCTGACCCGGGGTGGTAGCACCTATTAGGGTCCCAGCTATGGGCAAATAGTGAAGCCCCAAACAAAAACAAAACCCTATGAAAGCATAAAACTACATTTTTATAGTATCAGCAATGCATTTTTATATAGAAATTACTACCAATATCTATTGATAGTAGAATTATCAATAATGCATTTTATCTGTCGTTGAAGGCATACAAATGCGTTCAAAATATTTAGATTTCCGCATTAAATAAGCCATAGAGGTTGATATGCCGCTAAACAAAATCAACCAAACCATCATTGGGAAAGAACTCTTTCATGACATTAATCCATATAATATCCTACAATTTCTTAAAGAAATCAAACTGTATTCCAAAATATAATTTCAACAAAACAACTTAAATCACACATATCACCGCCTCTAGTAATCATCTCCACACAAACAAGTCCTGGGTATGACGATAAACTACATCCACATTCTAGGTAGGACGATAAACTACGTCCAACGACAAGGCCTCTGATCAGGAAGTTTTGAGGAGTGTGGAACCACCTCTTAATTGCTAGTGTTTCCAGGTTCACCCTGACCCGGAGTGGTAGCACTTGTTAGGGCCCTAGCTATAGGCAAATAGTTAATCCCCAAACTGGGGTCAAAACACTATGAAAGTGTAAAAATAGATTTTAATATCAGAAATACATTGTAAATAAATATTACCAGCAATACATTTTTGAAAAAAACAAATAAAACATTACCAGCTATACATTTTTTCAAAAAAAAGAGAAAAAAATATTACCAGCGATGCATATTTGAAAGAAAATTATTGCCAGAAATAGATTTTTGAAGAAAATAAAATTACCAGAAATAGATTTTTTGAAGGAAAAATATTACCAGAAATAGATTTTTTGAAAGATAAAATATTACCAGAAATAGATTTTTGAAAAACATTACCAACAATAAAAATTTTCTCGACATTAAATAACCCATTGCCGCACCCCCCAAAAAAACAAAAAACAAACCAAACCAAACCAATGAACAAAAGCTGAGTATCATCTACCATGTATTCAATTGTGAAAGCAGAATAACATATATTTTTTATTACGTCAAGATCCCAAGACAATTAAATTTCAGCATTAAATGACCTACAAAGAATTAATATGCCGTTAAACAAATCAATCAATCAATCTTTTTCAATTTTTCTTGAGCAGTCAGCAGCTTTGATAAGCCGTAAAATCTGAACACACGTATACATACATAGACACAGACACATTCACATTTGCTTTCTTTAAGTTTAGGATATGAAACCGAGAAGATGTGGTTTTTCGAGCAAATCTGAACGAGGGGGTGTGTGCATTCGTTAAAATGCTAAATAGAATCTTTCTAGGTTGTAACACTCTCCGTGGCCGAGCGGGCTAAAGCACATCGGATAGGGACAGTGATTTCCCTTCCAGAGGGTGACGCAGATTCGAACATTTCTGGAGGGCACAGAATTAAATATGGATATAGGCTAAAAATGACGTTTGCAATAATGAAAATTTCGGATTAAAAAAAAATGATTAATTCCATTATATATATATATATATATATATATATATATATATATATATATATATATATATATATAAATTTTAAATAAAAACAGACCACTTTAACGTAACATGGAACCTTAAAGTGGTCTGTTTTTATTTAAATTATTTGCTCTGGATTTACATTGAGCTCTCTGGATTTTATCCTCCTTAGGTTTACCCATACGGATTACCTAGTTTTTCATATACTATATATATATATAGGAAAAATAGATGTTCGTCTTATCTACCCCTATTCACATTTCAGAGGGTTTGATAGTCATTTACAGAAATCATCTTTTAAAAATAATATCTGTAAATAAAATCAGTTTCGCTATTAAGCCTCCTCACACATTCAATAATTAGATAGCATATCGGCAAAAGTTTGAGTAGGGACTGATAAGTTCAATATTTGTCTTTATCTGTTACTGTTAATGCTTTATCTCTTGATACTAAGCACTTTAATTACAATGATTGTTTGCCTTAAAAAGCATTATCTTTCAGAAATACCTTGGTTGATCGTCGTTTATTCATTTATTTTGGGCGAAATACATTCTTAGACATACAGACAAATCTCTCATCAACAGACTAATAGGTGGAGGGGTGGTCCGTTAAAAACGATTGTCCGTAGATGGCAACGGATTATTTTTCAGTTATAAAACCTCTATAGTAACTACCAGTAGTTATGATCATAATGTAAATACTATACACTTGTATATATGGCATGAATAGATATATACTTAATATAGATATATTAATCAAAATAATCAAAATAATAGATTTCTCACAGCTACTTTCTCACCACCGCGGTAGTGTATCATATTTTATATACTGTACACCCGTCTTTGTTTACAATCGAAAGCCACGGCACTGCCGCCAAGCGGTCACTTTGAGAACTAATACGACTCGTTCCGCTCAGCCCGGAAATTTTTAAATACATCGCCATCGATTTGGAAGTTTTTCTTCCTGCAGATTTTGTTTTTAATTTTCGCCGAAGGTTGTCTATATATATGTGGGTGTGTGTGTGCGTATATTTAGGCAGCATATCTTCATTCAAACATGTTTCATTGAATAATATAAACATATTGTGTTTACTTATTTTTATACTGATCCTTTCCAGTAGTCTAATCAGTTTCTTGATGTTAAGATCATCTTCTGGGGGTATAATACAATGATAAACATGCTAATGCAGATTTTATCGCGGTTACAGTAGCATTTTTGTCATTGTAATTTACTTCTGAAGATAATCATAGAGAAAGTCAAAAGGACTTAGGTTAAAATTATTACGGCGCCACCCTTGATAAATTTCATTTCAACATCCAGAAAATGATGACTATATATATATATATATATATATATATATATATATATAAATAGTTTTTTACATGCGGACAAAAACATTTTTGTTTCTCACCAATCAAGATGCACATAATTCATCGAAACAAGAATGCATTTTTGTAGTGAGTAATTGTTTTTGTTCGCATGTAAAAATCTATAATAATAAAACAAAATCTATAATAAATAATTATTGCTCTATTTTTGGTATTGAGCCCTCTTTTGAATTAATGCTGTGAACGTTAGAATTTATATTATTTTCGACTCTATTACATTTGGATCTCTCTCTCTCTCTCTCTCTCTCTCTCTCTCTCTCTATATATATATATATATATATATATATATATATAAACAATTTATAAAGAATGATTTTATTTTAATCCGAAATTTTCATTATTATAATGTATACTTCGTATTTAAAATTGACGCTTCATTTTTATTTTAAGCAGTTTGTATGACGTCGATCGGCCTGCACATTTGAGAAATGTAATGGCTGCCGAAGAACGCATTTTCTTTACTAAGATTTCTCGATAGACGTAATACAGAATACTTATTAAATAAAAATGCGACGTCTTTTTTAAATACGATGTATCCACTATAATAACGTTTGAAGTAATATACAGGGTTATTGAAAAGTAATTCCCTATTTTATGTACGATGGACTCTCCTGTCTGGTAAAAATTATAGTCAGACGAGAGAGTACATGATACCAAAAATAGGGACTTACTTTTTAATCACCGTGCGAACATATATATATATATATATATATACCCAAGTATATAATTGGTGTATACGGAATGAATTCCAATAACCAACAATTACTATTCTTAAAAGAGTGCTCAATACAGAGTAGAGCAGATATATAATTATTTAAAAATTATAACATAAATATTTATAAAATCACTACAAAAATAGCCATTTTGTTTCCTTTTCTGGTGTCTTATCAAATGATGATGTTGAATGTAAAATATTTTACATTCGGTGTCTTATCAATTTTTGATGATATTGAATGTAAAATATTTTACATTCAAAATCATCATTTGATAAGACACCGGAGGTGTTGAAACAAAATGGCTATTTTTGTAGTGATTTTATAACATATTTATGTTATAATTTTTTAAATAAATAATTATATATATATATATATATATATATATATATATAAGTTTAATTAAAAAACAGAAAACCTTAAGGGCCCATTGATTATATTTTATTTCCCCAGGAAAGGGAGTTTTTTTCTGGTTCCTCAGATGACTTTTCCAAGCATAAAAGAAAATGGTTTAAAAATGTACATATTATTATTTTTATACAATGTTGTCTGTTTTTAATTAAACTAATATTCGCTCTGTTTTTATATTGAGCTCTCTGGATTACACCCTCTTTGGGATTATCTATACGGATTACCAAACATTTCATTACGTAACTATATATATAGATATATATATATGTAGTGGTCTATAATCCTCTTTCAGTACAGATTAGACTGACAAGGTATTTTTATTTTGGTTTTTATTAGGTTTTTCTTGTATGCATAAAAAACTGTTTTTTTCAAATGTAGATTTTAAAATTTCTACGGTGGAGTAATGGATAGCGGCTCGAGTTCGAATTCCAGTTAAATTCTTTCAATTCACTTACGGGCCAATACCCTTGAGAAATGTATGAGTCCTCCTCTTCTCCCTCCAGCTATGGGTAAATAGCAGGACAGATCGAGTTCTATAGCCTTGTATGGAAACTGGTCTACCCCCAGAACGAAATGGCAACCTACTGCGGGAAAAAAATCTGCCTCGTCAATCATGTATCGAAAGATACATGATCGCCTAAGCGTGTATCACGCATGGCACATTACTGACTGATTTTGTCTGTTGTTAGCTAAAATGAAAAGTAGAAAACGAAATTTTCCAAAAACCCACAAATTTTATATCACGCATGTGGACTGTTTTCCGTATACAGGAAAAACCTACTAAAAATATTAGACCAAAGTACCTTGACCATGTCTTTCTTGTTCAACGAAACAGCCTTACGGCGATTTATGTATTCATAAAACATTGAAACACCTGTTCTTGTACTGATCACCGAAGTTAAGCAACATCGAGCCTGGTCAATACCTAGGTGGGAGACCGTTTGCGAATAACAGTTGGATGTACGGGTGGGGCAATGGATAACGGCTCGGAGTTAGAATTCAGCGAACAGAGTTCTAATTCTAGTCAGGTTCGAAATATTTCACTTACGCGTAAATATACCCTTGGGAAAGATATGAATGCACCTTTTCTTACCCTAGCTATGAGTTAATTAGTAGAACTTGTATCATTATTATCTCACCGACAAGAAAATTGTAGAATCTAAAAAATATTTTCTGGCTTTGAATAACCAGCAAAATGTTTATAAGCCGTAAAAAAAACTCCCCCAAAACAAGCAATCAACAAAACATATGTGTGTGTTTCCAATTAGTTGCTTTATTTCAGGTGGAAACATGTAATAGGAATTGCAGAAATTACATGCTAAGATCCCAATATTTTCGCCAATCATTGGTCATTTTGAAGATTCGAAGTCGATAAATAGTCGGCAAGGCGTTTGTATTTTCAATTCTAAGCTTAAACTGAACGTCGGTTCACGTGTTGTGACTATGAAATAGAATTTAATGTCACGTGTTAAGTATGATTTTACAATTGAATGTTGGAAGGTGATTATAGCCATTTTCTACTCCAGGCAGTTTTGGGATTTATTGTTGTCGGATGATACTGTTTTCCTTATTTTCCTTGATATTTTTAGTGTATTTTTGTTCACGTCGTGAATATGGCAACGAAGATGAGGGCCACAGTTCAAACAATGTAAATAGTGTAAATAATTACAATACCTAATTCCAGAAATATAGACAGACAAAATTTAATGATTTCGTGTTCATCGAACTTACTTTACAGTTTCTCAATTTTTAATTTCCTAAAACCGTAGAATAGCAAAACTGAAACAAACTGTTATCGCTATGGACCACGTGATCAATGACGAATAGCAATGCATTGCTAATGATTTAACTGTAGAATATGTTTTTATTGTAAACACATTTGCTAAATAAAAATGCATTGAAAAATCACGGGGAAAAGGATTTTTAAAAATCATATCAGCCCATGCAAAGCAGTAAAAGCCACTAAGACATAATGGATTACTAAGTGTGCAAATATGAGAAAAAAGAGGACCATTATTAAGGAGCAAGAACAATAGAAGAGTAATCAAGAAGACAATAGATAACGATTGGCATTGCATTTGAATATTTGAAGATCAAAGTTGGCTGGAAAGCATAGAGCCAGAAGAACGTTCCACAAGCGAGAAATAAGCGAAAAGAAACTTTTAGCACAGAACTTACGGTTACATCTCGCCAATTCAACTGTGAATTGATAGTACTGTGCTTTAATTTTTAAAGTCTAGGTACCACATCGAAAAGTTCATCTGGACAATTACCATGAATGTATTTACGGAAAAGGCACAGTGAAGCTACATTACGGCGGTGAGAAAAAGACTGGAACCGAACAGGAATTAAGTCAAGTGTTACTGATAGAATAACGCTATAATATGTATAATATAATTGTATTGTTAATAATTTTCATCTAGAAAAGTGCTGTAAATGTTGTTTTTTTATTTTTTTATTTTTATTATAAACTAGCTTAAAAGCCGCTCGTAGGTTCTTACTTTCCGTACAAACAGTTATTTTTTATTTCATGGGTGATTTTTGCTAGATTTCGCAATTAATTTCAATTATTCACAAATGTATTTCCAAGTTATAAAAATTGTTATCGTACAAAAAATTCGTCGCAAAAAAAAAATCACGTAAAAGATCAACGAAAACAATCCCAGTAATGAAAGCTATGGAATCTAAAATTTCAGTGTTGCAGGTCCGGAGCCGACCTGGAATGTTTTTAATTTGCTCACGGAGTCGGCCTGATTACAAAATGGTATGATATATTGAGCTATGGCGTCTAGGAGTAAAGTTGAAAAAGTGTGACACACTGACACACTAACACACTGACATTCGCATTTATTATGCAGATATACAAGAAAAAAAAGATTATGATCGGTTAGTAATGGATGCAAGATTTAATCCATAGAATAAGGTTATTAATTGTATATTGTCCTAATGAATGTTTTCATCAATATTACAAATAGTTTTACTATAGAAAGACGTTGAAAATCAAGAAGTGCTCCTGAAATGAGGAAAGTGTTAGTAATAGAACAGGACTTTTTTTTTCTGAATATACTCTATATATGATTATAATTGCTCTTTTCATAGAGATGTATTTATAAATCTCACTAATTACGCCCCCCTTCAAATCTCTAGATAGTTTTGGTTGTTGATCAGATTTAAAACTTATTTCTATCTTCAAATCGAAAAATAAAGAGAAAACAAGCGAAATAAAAAAATGTGCTTATTTATTGTGCTAGTGAGTACACTGAAATATTTCACACGACCCAGCAAGAGAACAAAAACCGGCTATTGAAGCTTTTTCACTAACTTAGACAGATGTCAAAATCTTTTGGCTATAATACCACAACAGCCAGTATATATATATAAAAAAAATGCCAGCCATATATTCCATCATTCACCGGGACAGTGTTAATGACAAGGCGGGAAACGAAAGTATCAAAGACGCGACTCAAAGGCCATAAGTCAGTGTAAACGAGCTATCCATTTACTCACACAAGGAGCTCTTTGGATTTATTAAAGAAAAAAATTAATTAAAAAAAAAAAAGAAAAAGAAAAAATGTCGACATTGTGGCGTACGACATTGGGTAAAGGAGAAAATTATTTAGACACCATTCTTTAGTTAAATGGCAGGGGATGATAAATTTTGTTTTGTCAATTTTGATTGACAAAATTGTTGGATTCATTTTGCTACGCCATTATGTTACCTCGTTAAAAAAATAAAAAAAACTTGTCGCTTTCGAAGATATCGGGCAGTGCCGCGTTCTTGATGATGTTACCGGATTGTTAGTGTGCGTATAAATATGAGGGTATTTATAGAATCTCTAGCTGGGAAATCATCGGAATATATCTTTTGTAAGAGATACGTCATTTCTGCGGAAAGAATCCAGTGAAAGTAACTTTTAGATGTATGTATAGGTATTACCGCAAAAAGGATCAGATACAAAAAAAAAAAAAAAGAAACAAAGAAGAAAAAGAAACAAAGAAAAAAAAACAAAGAAAAAAAACAAAGAAAAAAACAAAGAAAAATAAACTTTGAGGGCCTCGGATGAAACCGTTTTATACTCCTACTGAACTAAAAATTAGAACGACATATAAGAAAATATAACTATAGTTTATCGTCCACGTCAAACGTGACTCTTTATTTCAAAACATGAAATTATACGGTAGCGAAAAGCGTTATATGTAGGCAGAAGAAAGTTGGCTAGATTTTCTTTCGTATGCACGTGTGTTTGTGAGATCATTATAATGTTGCCTTCTGCATGCATGAATTTCAATTTTATCTCTGTACCTGTTCGCGGAGATCTGTTTCTTTTTTCTATTTGTATCCCTCTAGGATAGTCTGTACAAATATATATAATGCTATTTTATCTGCCTTCCTATCAGTGTTAATTAACCTCCATCTTGTCAGACAGTTACAAGAAGACAGTTTCAACATTTTACCTTGTAATAAATGCAAGTAATGTTCAATGATTGAATAGCGTATCTCCTAAAACGCAATTACTTTCTGAATGTCCTAATATAAACTAAGAGTGGTATTTAAAATATTCTTCTCTTGTAAAATTATCTAATCTAAAAACAATGACTTCAGGCCTAATACGAAGTCTTCTTTGTGGTCTATTTTTCTTATTCATTTTTTCCCTGTTTTTTGTATTTCAATTATTACATGTTTTTATTCAGTAAGAGGAGCAAACGCCTCTCACTAGACTCGGCTGGAAAACGGACAAGTTTCAACATGGTGTTCGAAAGTCCAACGAAAAGGTATTCTATGCATTTGGGTGTTCTTATTCTAGATAGAGTAAAATGGCCTAATCAACAGGACACCAGCAAGCGGACTCAGCAGAACCATTGCTTTCTACTGGTTTTAATTTGTATCGTTTCTCCTTGAGAAGGCACAAATCCACATTTGTCAAAAAATATCGCATAAAAAAATTGACACGTGGAAGCGACTTTAACTCAACAAACATCGCACGTAAAGCCATAGAAACTCATGCATACAAGCACGCGTGTGCACACGCAAATATCCAGAAACACACATATGAGTAAAATCAGGCCCATCTCCTCCTCTTCTCCGATAGACATAAAACTTAAAAATTACAAACGGGAATTCTTTTGTTTTATAAATGTCACTATTATCACACCCACCAAAAAGCAAAAAACAAAAAAAAATCACACCCACCAAAAAGCAAAAAACAAAAAAAAATCACACCCACCAAAAAGCAAAAAAAAAAAAAAAAATCACACCCACCAAAAAGCAAAAAACAAAAAAAAAAAAACAAAAAAAAACAAAAAAAAATCACACCCACCAAAAAAAAAAACAAAAAAAAATCACACCCACCAAAAAGCAAAAAACAAAAAAAAAATCACACCCACCAAAAAGCAAAAAACAAAAAAAAACAAACAAAAATAACAAATAAAAAACAAAACAAAAAAACTATAACAAAAAACAATAAAATACAAAAACAAAAAAAAAACACACCCACCAAAAAACAAAAAACATACAAAAAAAAAAAAAAATACAAAAACGAAACAAAAAAACCCCAAAAAACTACACAGTCCGACAATGTCATTTTTACGAACGATGAGAGAACTTGAGACTGGACAAATTTTCTCTGAAAGAAAGCTGATAAATGAACCGATTAAAACATACATTTACACAGAGAGAGAGAGAGAGAGAGAGAGAGAGAGAGAGAGAGAGAGCAAAGAAAGAAGAAAAGCAGTGAATATGACAACATGTCGACTTGGTGTAAGAACGTATAAAACAGAAAAAATAAATTTAAAAGGATTTCGCACTGCATTTACAATATTCCGCAAATATCCCACCACTTTTCTTATTCTTTGTGCAATTTATTATAATTCTGCTTGTCTCCCATCCTTAGTTTCTTCGTTGGCACCTACGTTCCGCCCAGACAATACCTCATAAATAATGGACTATTCAGTGCTGATCG